AACACAGGTGAGCCCTTTACAACACCACTTGGTAAATATAAAGACACTGTTTTTACGCTAGGGGAGCAGAAGGAAACCCCTGAAGCAAAACCAAATACCTGCAGAGGGCGGCAGCCTCTCCGACCGCTTGGCATGCAAGAGCTTGCGACTGATAAATATGTAACCACACGGACAGGATTTGCATGCAACGGGAACCTGGAAGAGAACCAAAAAGAATCATTCTGTTATTGCATTAATAAAAACAAAGTTTTAAAGCAATCACTACAGCAATTGGCTGAAGAAACACAAGCCCCACCCCCACCATCAAGTCATTGCTAACTTATGGTGATCCTGGAGGGTTTTCAAGGCAAGAGACATTCAGGGGCGGTTCGCCCTTGCCTGCCTCTGCGTCACGACCCTGGACTTCCTTGGAGGTCTCCCATCCAAATACTAGTCATGGCCGACACTGCTTAGCTTCCAAGATCTGGCTAGCTGGGCCCGTCCAGGTATGGCCTTGCGAGTCCACAACCCTCCTTAAACATAAAGGTAAAGGTCTCCCTTGCTCGAAAGCCAGTCGAGTCCGACTCTAGGGTTGCGGTGCTCATCTCCGTTTCCAAGCCGAAGAGCCAGCGCTGTCCGAAGACGTTTCCGTGGTCATGTGGCCGGCATGACTAAACACCAAGGCGCACGGAACGCTGTCACCTTCCCACCAAAGTGGTACCTATTTCTCTACTTGCAATTTCTTGCTTTCGAACTGCTAGGTTGGCAGGAGCTGGAACTAGAGACGGGAGCTCACTCCGTCATGCGGCACACTCGGGTCTCGAACTGCTGAACTACCGACCTTCCACAGCCTGCAGTTCAGCATCTTAACCACCTGAGCCACCGCAGCTCAATATATATAGTGATATATATATAAAAATATACTGACTTCCATATGACCATCACCAAATCTGTGACTTAACCTTAATCCTAACTAGAATCAATACCTTAACAATCGCTAAACAAACAAAACCATTCTTCACACCGATTCCAGCATCTGTTGCTACCCAAACAGGATCAACACGTTTATTTTGACGGGAAATGGGGGGGGGGGAACCCACCAATACTTAGCATAATTTAACATGTCAGGTTAATACTTCTGCCTTGCTTCAGCTCTGTTTCGGATTTCTGTTTGGTTCCCAGATTCTACGATCCAAATCCTATTGCACCATTTATTGGATGTTCCATACTGTTGATTATACTGATTATAATCCGATACTGTTTCAAACCAAGACAAACCAAATACATTGAAGTGAGCAAACTCTGAACAGGTAACTTTCTGCGCATGTGCAAGACCATGCGGTGAACTACCTTTTCCCCAAAGAGTCATTAACACGTGGCATTCACTTGCCGCAGGAAGTGATGGCAGCTGCAAGCATAGACAACTTCCAGAGGGGATTGGATAAACATATGGAGCAGAGGTCCATCAGCGGCTATTAGCCAGTTTGGTGTAGTGGTTACAAACGTGGACTCTAATCTGGGAGAACCGGGTTTGATTACTCACTCCTCCACATACAGCTGCTGGTGAGTCAGTCACAAGTTCTCTCAGAGCTCTTCTCTCAAGAGCAGTCCTCAAAAGAGCTCTCTCAGCCCCACCTACTTCACAGGGTATCTGCTGTGGGGAGGGGAAGGGAAAGGAGACTGTAAATTGCTCTGAGACTCCAAGTGAAGGGTGGGGCATAAATCCTATTATTATTATTATTCCTCCTGCTCAAGGAACACTATGTCTGGGGCAGTGGTGCTCTGTATTCTTGGTGCTTGGGAGGCAACAGTGGGAGGGCTTCTGGAGTTCTGGCCCCACTGCTGGACCTCCTGATGGCCCCTGGGTTTTGGCCACTGTGTGGCACGGAGTGTTGGACTGGGTGGGCCACTGGCCTGATCCAGCATGGCTTCGCTTATGTTCTTAATACAGAAGCGTCATCCCCCTGCTAGATGAACAATTCAGTGCTGTTCCAACTCATGAAAGCCTTTGCTGGAATAAAATCTGTTCGTTTTTAAGCTGCCACTGGACGCCTGTTTTATTTCACTGCTGGACTACACTACTTCAGACTGCGGGTTTTGTTCTGAATGTTTTCCCTCCCAATTTGGGGAGGGCAAATTTCTCTACTTAAAAATCAAAAGGGACTGGAATAATGTTTGCTGCCCTGGAAGACCTAGCCCGAAATGCAAGCTCTTTTTATAAGAGCAAAAATAACCGTTAGGCCTCCCTGGCGGGGCCCTCCCTTCTCCTCCCCTGCCCTCCCCTGACATTTTAAGAGGCTGCTCGGCCTGCCCACGTAGGCCCCAGCTGCTGCCCGCTTCTTCCTCTGGTCTGTTCCCAGGCCTGGCCTTCTGCCTGTCCCTGAGGCTGCAGCCGGGGCCTTTCTGGGAGTGGCCCCGCCCTTGTTCCCTTCCCTACAGCCTCTGGCTGGGTTGCCTGCCTCAGGTGGAGCCTCATCGGAAACAGGTGAGTTGTGCGAGTGCAGCGCCCCCTGCTGACAATGGCCCTATCTCAGGTCGCCACCCACTTTGTGAGGGGGGAGAGAAGAGAAAGGGGGAGAGAAGAGAAAGGGGGAGAGAAGAGAAAGGGGCCTCCAAAGAGTATCTTGGTGAAAGGACTCGTCGTTCCAGGTTTGCAGAAATCCCAAGGAGACAATACACGAGATCCGGGTTTGAAGAGAAGAAGAGACTAGATTTATACCCTGCCCTTCACAACTTGAAGGAGTTTCCGAGCGGCTTACAATCTCCTTTCCCCTCCCCTCCCCACAACAGACATCCTATGTGAGGTAGGTGGGGCTGAGAGAGCTCTTTCGAGGACTGCTCGTGAGAGAACAGCTCTGAGAAAACTTGTGACTGACCCAAGGTCACACCAGCAGCTGCATGTGGAGGAGTGGGGAATCAAACCCAGTTCTCCAGGATTAGAGTCCGCGCTCCTAACTACTACACCTAACTGACTCTCAAGGAGATTTTTAATAAAGTGTCAAACTTACAGCTAAACTCCCATCAGTTGGGCCTCAAGCATGCACACACACAGCGAAGCTTGCTGGTGTTCGAGACCACAGGCATAACTCAAACTAGGCATCTTATGCCCTAAACGCTGGCTACCAGTCAAGAAACCATTAATTCAGCGCTCCCAAACACTAGGACTTGCACCTGGCGTCCAGTGGTGGGAAGAAACAACCCGGGCTTTGAAGATAAGGGCTGCTAACAAGCATGAGAGAGAGAAAGAGAGACGTTGGGAGTTGGCTGATCACCACCCTAGCCCTGAACTTAGGCCAACTAGACACCAGCATGTTAAAAAGATGGAGTCACCCGGGCCATAATCTGTCCATAAGGGAGTCAGCTGTTCTTTAGTCATTCTAGCCCAGAATATTGCAGTCTCCAAAGCTCCAAGCCAGCCCTTTGTGCCCAGAAACAAAAATGAAAGCCGTCGAATTCTTGTAAAATGGACTAAATATGCTCCCTGTGGCGCGTCCCAGCTAATGGATTTGCTGTAGCCCTTTGGATCAGTTCTCTGTAGTCTTCAAAAAGCAACCTCCCGTACAGCGCATGACAACAGAACCAGGGCATGGAAAGAAACAAGAAATGCAAACCACTCAGGGATCCGGTATTTTTTTTAAAAAAACAGGCAAGGTGCAGCGTGGAGACGGTTTTACCGCGTCACCTGCCGTTTGTGCTGGCCAACTGTTGCACAGACACTCATTAAACGGCAACGTTATCTTGACAATAAAACCAAGGGGAGCCGTCCTTCCTGAGCCAAGACAAAAATGTGTGAGCCAGAGGCTCAAAAACTGTGAGCTAGCTCACACTAACTCAGCTTAGAGGGAACACTGCCTGTGAGGTAGGTGGGGCTGCCCTTGAGAGAACAGCTCTGAATGAATTTATGACTAATCCAAGGTCATCCAGCAGGTGCTAGTGGAGGAGTGGGGAATCAAATCCGGTTCTCCCAGATTAGAGTCCGCACACTTAACCACTGCACCAAACTGGCGAATATGAGCAGAAGAAATGCCCTCCAACTGGTATGTTGATCTGATGGAAGGGGTAAAAAGGATCTCTGTTGCTGTTTGCATCACATCAAACTGTTAGTGACAGAGGCAAAATGCTACTTCCTGTGGCGCGCAGGTGGGTGCTCATGAGAACCCAACCTCCAGAAAGCAGATTATTACTCATCAAGTATGCACTCAGGGTCCGCCGGGGCCCTTGTGTCATTAACAACAGAGCCCATTCATGAGGCATCTGGAAGCGGCTGGATAGGACAGACAGCATGAAAGAACTAGCAAGGATAATTTGTGCAATTTATCCCTGAATATTTACACTGATTTACTTAAAATATTTCCCTGCTACCTTTCCACCCAAATAGGGTCCGCCAAGACAGCAGACATCAAGACATTAGAAGGGCATTTGAAATAAAGTGTACATAAAATAATTCAAATAAATTAAAAAAATGCATGACACCAAAACCAGGGAACAGGGCCAATCTTTTATTTTTAAAAAGCAAAATTTTAGAAAGGTGTCATTCAATGTTCCCAATGTTCCCTCTAAGCTGCAGAGCCTTGTGAGCAAAAATGCTACTTTGTGAGCTACTGGCATTAAAGTTGTGAGCGAGCCATTTGGGTGCTGCATCAATCAGTTTGCTCTGGAGCCCTCCTTCCTGAGCGAAGACAAAAATATGTGAGCCGGAGGCTAAAAAACTGTGAGCTGGCTCACACCAACTCAGCTTAGAGGGAACACTGGTGTCATTCCATCACCTTCTCCGCATGCAGTCTAAAAATGGCAGGAGTTGCCATAGTGGTAGTAGTCACGCCCTCCTCCCCTCCCCCAGTCTGCAGGGCTGAATAAGCTTCGGATCAAGACATTTTGGATATTCCAACATCCAAGCAGTGCAGATGAACAGGCGCACCTGGCCAACCCCCGCGGACCCGTTTTCAAAAGCAGCTTCTGGCGTGGCACAGAGCAGCTATTCACGGGGGGGGGGGGGGGGTTTTGTAGGCGTGGGCGGGACT